AGATAAAATATCAATTCAATAATTTTTAGTACTATTTACACATGATAAAATGAAAATAAACAAGTGCGAAAACTACAAAAATAAGACAATGAGCAATCAAAATGCATTTACAAAATCGTAAGCTATAACAACATTCTTAATATCACTAGTTATTTTTTCTCACATAACATTAGTTTCCTCATTCGCAAAAAAAATCTTAAGATTTAGAACTTTACTCTCAAAAATATATTTGTTAGTATTCTTTAAATGCTCCCATTCAATTCTAAAATAATATTTTATTTTATTTTTTAAATTCCCCCATTCATCTTAAACTCCAAAACTAATAAATGATGTTGGTTACATAAATTTTCGCTCAGAATATCTTTACAGTCTTTGCAATCTAAATGATCTATTTTTCTTATAAGAAAATAATCATTTTGAGTTTTACTATATCTATTCTTATAAGTGATATGTTGCTCATCTCTTTTCTTAAATAATTTATTATCAATTACAAAATCATAAGTTATAGTAAAATCTAATATGATCTTACCATCTTCATTAGTCGCTCCAAACCCATATCTCATCATAAAGTTTGTGTTTTTCAAAACTTTAATTTTGAATAGATATTCAAATCAACTTGACGAGCATAAACACTTATAATATTAATAATCTTAACATTAACAACAATTTTTAAAGCTACAATTCTATCTCAATTCTATTAATTTTTACAATATTTTTTTTAATTATTATCTATAATAATACCTACATCATTTCTAGTTAAACATTATCCTTCAAATCCTACTAGAATATCATAGTTTGAACCTTACAGTATCAACTCCTTAGCCTTCTCTAAAATTCTTTAGTTTACTGAATGCATATAATATTTATCTTTTATGAATCATAATATTTATTAATTCAATTAATTTGCTTGTAAGGAAATCTATATTCGAAGTTCTATGTTCTATCCTAATTTTAGTTTCACAGACTAGCTTTTTCGCTAACATCCGTCCATGATGTAGGAACCCTTTCTATTTAGCACTGTAGCTGACAGTGTAGCTTCCCTTGCACACTTATCCCTGTATTTAAGCCATACAATGCGTCACTTCCAGGGAATGTCTTAGCATTAACACAATGCATTAAATGATTCATGTTATGATTATTCGATAAGGTTTACGCTCATTGTCGACTACATAACTCAACCTACTACATTTCTCATTCAGAACTTGGGATCTAGCGACGACAATTTTAAAGTAAGAACATTCATGACTAAAGAAAAAAAGATATGATCTTAAAGGTGATTCTTGATGTAATCCAATTGAAGTAGGAAAATGCTTGGTCCAACCTCCTTGTGTTTGAACACAAGTAACAACTCCTACATACATATCCTTAATGACTCGAGTATATGCATAATTAACTCTTTTATTTTATAAAACTCTTCATAGCACTTCTCTTAAAACTTCATCATAAGCTATCTCTAAATCAATAAATATAATATGTAGATCCTCCTTATTCTCCCTATATTTCTCCAAACCTCTCAATAAATAGATAGCTTTCATAGTAGACCCTCAACATGAAACCAAATTGATTTTGAGAAATATTAGTGTCACGTCATAACCTATACTCAATAACTCTCTCCCAAAGTTTTAAAGTATGCCACATCAATTTTTTTCTTGAATTCAAATAACTCTTCTTTAAAGAGTTAACTAGAGGTGTATAAGTAACGTTTGAATGGTGATGGGGCATGTGTAGTTGTAGGAATAACATGTGGTGCTTGTAGAAGAGATCCTTTCCATGAAAGTATTTGCTAATTAATATATTATTGGAATAATCATAGAAGTATGTAGAACACATGGTGCTATTATAAGGCAATCAAAGATGGGTTGAAGGGGGCACTAGATATAATTGGAAATGATGAAGGGTTTAATGTGATGGCAATTATATCGACTTGAATAGGGGATTCAAGATTTATGTTTGGTGGTTTGACATTCTTTTTATTTTCATTTGGCTAATAAGGATTGCTTCATGACGTTTGGTTTCTTAAACCTTTAGTTGATTCTTAATTTCCATATTTTTTGAATTCATTTTATAATTTAGTCATTTCTTTCACAATATTATTTTACAAAAATAACATATTAGCAAATTGGGACATTATGATTTAAAAATTCTAATAAGAGGTGGGGAGAATTTAAATGGGCTGATGCAAGTATAAAAATTCAATAATAATACTTTCTCAAATGATCTCTTACCAATCTTTCAAGTTTTTTAATGCTCTAACTTTGAAACTTTGTTTATTCTTTTTTATGATAATTAAATTTAATATTGCGAAACTTGAGGCAAGTTGCATGTCTAAGATAATCCTATGAATTATTGTAATGTGTCATCTAGTTGTCTCTACTTTCATAAGCGAAATTATTTTTCTTTTTTACTCAATTGTAAATCTATACATTGCAAAGTCGGGTTTTATTATTTTTTTAAAAAATAAACTTTTTATAAGTCAATTTTATCTGTTCCTTACATTAGAGTGATGGTTTTTAAAATTTCAAAATATTATTTTAAGCATATTTTTAATTTTTGCAGTAAGCATTCATTGCATATTTCAACCAAAAAAAAAAAAACACTTGCCTTACAAAATCCCATCTTAAGCCCTACTTAAAGCTGTTGGCCAAATATAGGTTGAATTTAAACTAGATCGATTCTAGCCTCCATTTGATGCCCTAAAGCCTCAAGTGCTCTTGTTAAAATTTGGCCAGATTTCTAGCACTCTTATATGTCACCTTCTATTTGCATGAATCTTGAGCATCACTCAATTGTACCTTTTTACCCCTATGATGTGGGTGCTGATCACACATTATAGCTATATTGGTTTAATCCAACAATCAATTTTGATCAATGAAGACATGCTTATTTTAATTTTCCTCAATGATGTTTGTGTTGTCAATAAATGTGAATTTAAGGGGATTCCTATTTCAAAAACTACCTCAAATCCCTATTAATTTGGGTTCTCTTTTCAATGTTGACGCATTCAGGGTAATATCACAATTAAAGGGAATTCCATTTAAATATAAGCCCTTTTTTGACAAAAGAAAAAAAAAATCCAAAAAACGGTACGACTTAAAAAAATGCTCGAACAATAATTGGCCTCTTCAAGCTTAGGAGTAGCAACCCACCCATCAATCCTTCACACTAGTTTGCAAGGATGATAAATTTAAGTCTGACCGAAGCTCTCAAAGTGCCAATGCTATGTGAAGTGTATCCATATGAATACATTAAAAATATCAAGCCAATGAGGTTGTAAAGTGCTATTTGACAATGAAATTTGCCCAAAAATGTCATCATTATATTATGGCTATAGTTAAAGTTTGGAAGTTCCCCCAATGACTCAGTCTATAAGTTGTGAGTTATAAGCTGCAATTAGCCCTTTAGATGAATTTTTACTGATGCAATTCACGGATGTTGATAAGGATTTTCTAGTGAGGTTGGATTGATTATCATTGTTAACTAAGTAGACTAGGATAGTGACAATATTTGATTATTGAATAATGAGATCTTGATCTGATTCATTATCATTCTCCCATCATTTGCTTTAGGATAATGTCAGTATAATACTTCTGATTAAAATAGTTGTTATTAAGCTTAATATTGTACACCCTATTGACTAGTTTTTTTTTGTTATTGAGAATAGTAATTAATCATAGGAGCATGTACCTTTGTGAACCCTCAAATAATATGATTAATTTCTCGCTAGAGACTCATATAATTATCTATAAACATGGTATGCTCTAAGCATTCAGTTGGTTAGTTTTTTTATCTGAAATTCAATCTATCTTTTAAAAATTTGATTAAAAATGAGCCTCATATGTATTAAAAGAATCGGATGGGAATTTTCAAAGCCCATGCTACTTAAACATAAGTTATTATTTGTTTGATATTGATATTGTACGATTTGGCAATTCATTTACAAATATTAGGATATCAAGAATATGGTTAGTGATTTGCAAAGAAGTAGTCTAGTCTCACAATGTAAACATGTTAGATGTTCAAACTGTAGAAATTAATGGGAATGAAGTTTATGAAGCTAACTCATACAATGAAATTGTGGGGCAAGTGATATAGAGAAAGTGTAGAAGAAACTTATCTTAACCTTAGAGAATTAACGTGATTTATGGAAAGAAGATCAATGTTAAAGTCTTATGGGGTTGAAAAAGCATCATTTTGAAAATGTGGGGGCATGAGCAATAAAAGCGTAAGACATTGAAGCCAGTGATATAGGAGGATCTCAACAAACATTGAGTGCATACTGTGCACTCATTAAATGAGGCTCTTCTCATCTAGTACTTATGGATGGGGAAAATAGATGGAAATGATCTTGGTATGTAGTACATAAAGATGTTCCTACACATACATAGTGTTAGTATACTTTGAAAGTTAAAAAAAAAAGGGATAAAGATGAATGAGCGCAAATTCTTCATAAATATTTAATGAATGGCCAAGAAGCACTTCAAATGCCAGCCTCGAAAGATTTGGTAGGTTGATGATGATGACTATGATGTTAGTACTGATCTGGATGGAACTTCTGAAGCGGAAAAATATATATGGTATCTACACAGGCACCCTTGGCAGACATAATTGTTGGACCACAAGTGGGATCCTTCTAAGGAGATAAATTATCTCCTTAATATATTGTTGTTTGCAAGAAGCTATCGTCTTCTAGTTAGCTTTTTCTTCCCTTTAGTCATATGATGGCATGACGAAAATTACCTTTTTTTTAGTATAATCGGTCAAACTATATTTTGGGTACAATATGTACTCGTCTTGTCTGATGAGCGATTATTGAAATTGTCATTAAATCTGTAGTCATAAATATTCAAACTTATTTTACAAAACATAGCAAAAACTGCTTTTTGGTCGCGGTGTGATGTGTATCTATTCTGGTGAACAAGTACTCATGTACAATTTTCTATCTATAGCCTTAAATGTTCAATCTTATTTTAAAGAACTTTCTCTAAAGTAAAAAAATCCAGAATACAATTTGCAGCTTCTGCTTGATGAAGGATCTGATCCAGATGAAGCATGGAATGAAATTCGGCTTGTCGCTAGTGCAGTTATCTCCAAGATATGCAAAAATTTCTGCCCATGCAGGTAAATTTTGCAATAATAAATTGTATATATTTACATTTGAAGTTCCGAAGCAACTTTCTACTATAGTTATTATGGTATGTATGATTATGCGTTCTTATTTTTTGACATTGACGTTGGCTCATGACAATGAGGTCTAAATAGGTACAAAGGAGTTGAATGATTATTTTTTTAGAGGATAGGAGCTCTCATCCTCATACATCTTATGAGTTATACTATTTATCCGCATTTTGAATAGTTGAAAGTTAAAGTAAATTTAACTTTTTAAATATGAAATCAAGAATTGAAGAAAGGCAGATCTATTTTAAATCTCATTTATTTAAAAATGTGAATGAATGATATAAGATGCGTAGAATGAAAGTTTCCATCATTCTAAAAAGATTGATGTCTAACGTGTAAGATTTGATTTGAATTTTCTTGGAAAATGTTGAACGTAACATGCCTAGGATATTTTATTATGTTGTGCATTTTACTTGCGTGCAATAGCCAAAAAATAGTAGAATCTTCAATATGTGTCAAATTGTGAGTTAATATTTGATTATATTTTTTAGTTTAAAACTCGGGTTCTACCAAATAAGGTGATACAAATATTATGGTAAGTGATAAAGAGGAGGAATAAGATTGTTATGTTTATATATCAGCGTGGTGTGAATGGTTTAAGTTTTGTCCAACATATGTTATTTGTGCCCAAGCGATATCCAGCAAGTGTAGGATATTTTTCATTGTAAAAACAAATGGCATCTACAACAAGCTGTAAATTGGAAGGTCCAACATTGCATCCTGCAATGTTTGTGTGCTGAACTGTCATACACAACATGTCAACCTTACTTTTAGTGTGCTTGGTATTTGAACTATTAATATTTTTGAGGTAAATTATGTAGTAATTTAGACATTTGTATTAGTTTATCGATAGATCATATCTAAAATCTAGAAATTTAGATAGGCATTAGACTTTGATGGATGATGAATGTTAGATGTAGTCTTTGGTAGACTACGAGTGACAATTGATGGAAATGTTGGATGGGATTGTTCGTTGGCGTCGATTGTAGATGTTGGTGGGTATTTGGCTTAGTCTATTGTGCACATGAGCCTTAGTCTATATCATATGTATTATGATTGACTTGTTAATAATTTTATAATAATAAATCTTATGTGATGCCGTCTAATTATTTGCTATGCATTTTCTTTGAAGTTAATCATTTACTAACCATGGTGAAATTGGCCTTTTTGGGAGCTTGGGTTTGGAGTTGGACTCAAACTTGATAAATTAAGAAAAAACTCAAGTACACAGTGAATATCCAAAGTTGTATAATCTAGTTTATATGTTTAATATATGTATATATATTGTAAATTGATTGAGTTTGATTAAACTAAAGATTCAAGGATTAACACAAGTAATATGTGTGTCTTTTTTATGAGGCAAGTATTCAGAATTGTATTTGAATTGTTGTTAAAATTATTTAATTTTATTATATAAAATTTGATAATTTATTTAGCTTGAGTTTTCATCTGTATTTTTTTTAAGTTAAATATTCATGTGTTATTTTTTTTAATTAATTATATAATTAGTAATTATGTGTAGAATTTATTCATCATTGTGATTTTATAATTCATATTTTTAGCAAATTTATATGCTTTTACTTTTCAATTAAATTTACTGTATATATTTTATGTTAATTATTATTATTTAAGGAGTAAAAGCTCAAAATAGTCCCCCGACTATTGATAAATATCCAATTTAATCCCAGAGTTTCGCATTGTCCAATTTTAGTCCCTCAACTATTAGAAATTATCCAATTTGATCCCTCTGTTAAATTTTCCATTCAAATTAATAAAAGAAGCCCGCATGCGTTTAGTTCTTTGGGATGTTTTAGGAAAATACTTCTTTACCTAAATTTCCAATTTGATCCCTCTATTAAATTTTCCATTCAAATTAACGGAAGAAGCCCGCAAGCGTTTTGTTCTTTGGGATGTTTTAGGAAAATACTTCTTTACCTAATACATCGCGTGCTCATTATAATTTCTTGGAGATCGAACATGAGATCAAATGTGCAAGGGGGAAGATCTGCATCTATGAGCAAGGCGACCTACTGCAACATACAAGGACGGTGAGCGTGACGACTGGCTACTACGAGCAAGACGTTGTGCTTTGAGATGACGTGCACGCGCTACAAGCGAGGCACGGAGGCCACGAGTGATTTTGTGCGAGTGAGATGGCGAGCGACCGCTAGTGATAGCCAGAGAAGGAGACGACAAGCAATTTGCATCTCACAATAGCTAGAGATGGAGACCGCGAGCAATAGCCAAATACAGAGACTACTGCGAGTGATCACCATCCGATTCGACACCTAGAGACAAAGACGTCGAGCACTTCGCTACATTCACAAGGACACGGAGGCACAGTTAATGTTAAGTTTGCTTAACTTCTTAATATCCTTCATTCATATGATTAATGTTATGAATTATTCGTTCATAGGTGTATTATTTGTGTTGTATGTAATTATTTTCTTAACTATTTCAATGTGTTTGGAAAAATTTTGCTATTATCATCATCATGGAAGTTTCTCTTGTTCCTTAATCTTGTTGATGAACGAGAATAGCACTTAGGCTATCCAAATGAAAATTACGTGCAATAAGACACAATTAGACATTAATTTTAATTTCAGGTAATAGCTCTTATTATGTAGTTGATTAAAAAATATTAAAATACATTTCATTTTATATTAAAATACGGTTAAGAAGAGTGATGTTAGATTATGTTTAAAAAATTTAAATTTTTTCACTATTTATTCACCTTTATTATTTAGTTGATTAAATATATATTATAATTTATTAATTAATAAAATAGAACAACGTAAGCAATGTAATCCCATATCTTCTTGTAATACTTCAAATATTCTTCATTTTTAACTTTGGGGTAAACTTTAACTCTTATTTTAGGCTCTAAGACTAAATTGACTCAATTTCTGATAGTCGAGGGATTAAAGTTGGGCAATGCAAAACTTTGAGATTGAATTGAGCATTTATCAATAGTCGGGGGATTATTTTGTGCTTTTACTCATTATTTAAGTAACTATATTATTATTTGGCCAATTAAAGATTATGAGTATATTTATATACAATTAAATATTTTGTTAACTATGCATCATTTATTTAAAAAAAACCCCATTTACTTTAAATTTCTCAAATTTGACTTATGCTTCTTGACCTAAAAAGTCTTGGTTAGAAAATATTAGTAATGATCTTTCTTTATTAGATTTAAATGAGAATTTGACTTTTAACAGGATGCTATGAAGAAAAAGGATTCATATAGTCGATCCCAGGTAGTGGGACAAAAGCTTGATGTTGTCGTTGTTATGTAGTCATTTCATCAAATCACACTTTGTAGGATACAACTTTGTTGAAAGAGTGTTTAACATGTGATTCCTGAAGTTTCTTCAAATAATCTACTAATTTAAATTTTGAAAATTTTATCAAAAATTATATTTGGTTATATCAAATTTATGATCAATATTAATGTTGTAATTATAAATCATTTTTCTACGTCCATTATATCATTTAATTCATGAGCTATTTTTTTTATAATGAAAATTGATTTCACATGATTTTGATATTAGTGAGAGTGTTTAATAGGCCTTTGGTTGGATATAAGAGATTTTTTGTTAGAAGTATAATAATCATGTGTAGTGGTCTTAGTAGAAGGATAGTAGCATTTTTTGTCTATATGTTTTAAAACATTTGCAAGAGTATGTACCTTGGCTTATGCTTTTCGTTAATGATATTCTTCTTGTTGATAAGACTGGATAGGGAGTTGATGAAAAAAATTGAATTATGGAAGTCAACTTTAGAGTAAAAGTTTTTGTTTGAGTCGATCTAAAACTAAATGCATGGAATATAATTATAGTTGTAATATATCTAGTGGTGAGATTGTGATATTTGGTGATCAAGTTAGTAAAAGGAGTGCACATTTTAGATATCTTGGGTCTTTTTTTCAAAGTGATAGTGAAATATATGGAGATATTATTAGTAGAACTCATGTGGATGGTTGAAGTGGGGGAATGCATCGAACCTATTGTGTGATAGAAAGGTGTCCCTCAAACTTAAGAGAAAATTTTATAAAGTGGTGGTGAGACCTATAGTGTTCTATGGCATAGAATGTTAGCCATTAAATGGGAAGCATAAAGTTATTTGTTGAAGAGATGAAGAGCTCAGATGGATGAGTGGCTTTACACTTAGAGATAGAATGTGAAATGAGTATATACTTGAAAAGCTTAGAGTAGTTGCAGTGGCAGAAAAAATTAAAGTGAGTTGCCATAGATGCTTTGATCACATAAAATGTCGGCCTACCAATGACTCTGTCAGGAGAGCAGTTGTAGTAGAGCTGGCCTAGTTAAGAAAGACATAGGCAGACCTAAAAAGATTTGGTTAGAAATTCATTAAAAGTGATTTTTTTATTAGATTTAAATGAGAATTTGACTCTTAAAAAATCACATTGGGAAAAAAAGATCCATTTAGCCGACCCCACATAGGGCGATAAAGACTTGTGTTGTTGTTGTTGATGTTCTAAAACTTTGGATAAAATCTCATTTATTATATTTGGTGATATTTTGTTTGGTTCATACTTAATATCTTGCATAAATTTTTAATGAAACAAAATTAAACAAATAATTTTTAGCTATAAGATTTTTTAAATCTTGCAAATAACTCAAAAACACTATAATAACTTGTTTGAAATTCTAAAATTGATCATCTGATTGATCAATATAAAATCAGTAAAGGTTAAACATTATTTTTTAGTTTGTTTCTTATTGATTCGCCCCAGCATTTATTATAGTAGTAACAATACTTAACAAAAATATTAAGCCTTTTAATTTTATTTTAGTAAATTTTAATTTTGGGAATCATATATATATGTGTACATTTCACATTACTGTTTCAAATTATCACCCTAATACTTGGCAGGTCGGAGCTCGCCTCTCATGTTCACTGACGCTTAAATTATGTAAATTCTATCTGCCAACTGAAAGGCTGACAGCTTCAGATACTTTACGGTATAAATTTTCTTAAGCTTCCTTTAATATTGTGAGATTTGCTATTTGTTTGATGAGTTACTAACTTTCTCGTTTTATTCTTCTCCTTTAATAAATAATCATACAGTGCACTCAAGCACCACAAAAAAAATATGCAGCTATCATATTTTCCAGTATAAAGCATGTAAATATGGTAAATTTATTCATCTCATAAAAAAAACTTTTGATCCGAGACTTGCTCTCAAGAAATCTTGGTTTAAAATTTCACCTTGCTTGCTCTATTTTGAGCTTCTGTTCAGTAGCTATTGTGTAGTGAAAGCTTTCAGGGGAAGTTGCATCTTTGTTTGGCTGATATCCTTCGATCTGGAAATAAAATTATTGTTGTTAGCATTAACTTGTAATATTATGGATGCTCTTTTAAATAACGATAAACAAACCTTTATTGTTTACGGTCATATAATTTATGAAAGCTGTTCAAATGGTGTTGAATTTTGATGCTTATATAAGTTTTGATGATACTTCTTCGGTTGGTATGGAATTGTTTGATTATGAGCATATGCATGATGATGGTGATGTCATGATGATGATAATTTTATATATATCTCCATACATTATTCTCATTCTCATAAAAAGAAAGTATTTCTGAAGCTCATCACACGAAAAACACACCAAGATTTTACTCGGTATGCAACACTTGGCTCAGTAATTAGGTTTCTTTTATAAATTGTTAGAGGAAATCATCCTCTAATCATCACAGAGATTTCCTTATCAACCCCATGGCATCTATGCCCCCTGCGCATCTCATCCTCCCTCTTTGCTCTCCAACTTTGCAAGCTGAAAGAAAAGCGAGCTAAATGATGTGGCTCTCCCTAATTTGCTGGGAGCTTTGGCTATGAATTAAGAGGTTTGTGTTCGAAGTTTGCGAATGCAATGTGTCTGAATTTGTCTGAAATGACCTTAATGTCTAAAAAAAAAAAGCTAAATAATGCATTTATTCAAAGCTGATTTCTTTCTCGCTTTTTAGTTATATCATGGCTTGCATTATTAAATGTAACTTTGATGCCCATTTCTTAAGTGTTTTAGTACAATTTTTTTCAAATTCAGCTCATTTATGCCTTTGATAATTAGGTATTGTATTTTGATAAATTAAGTTAAAATTTTTGTTTAATGGGCTATTATCAATTTATTTTGTAAAATTATACATTATACATCATTAAATAATCTTAAAAGCTCAATATTTATTATCTTCTTGGAACAACCTGTCTTGATGTTATGATTCATAGACCGGGTTCGGGTCCAGAAAATCGACCCGTTTGCAAAAACGGGTCGGGTCGACCCGAACCCGAATAGTGCCGGGTCAGTTTCGGGTTCGACCCGAACCCGACCCGTAACCCGAAATTGACAGGTCTAATGATTCATCAATAATATAAATATAGAATAATATCATAATTTTTTTTTTAAATAAGATACATCGATGATCATTATAGCAATATGATTAATGACTTAAATTAAGTGTGGGTATGAAAATTTCATTTAATATGATTTCATAACATGCCTATTTCTAAATACACATACATTATAACTCAAAAAATTATTAATATAATTCGAATAATTTATGTTGAATTGCAATTACATTAAAACAATTTTATTTGAGAGCTTTTAAATTAAAAAGGATAATAATAATAATAATACTTTAGTTTGATAAAAAAATATATTTACAAAAAGTAAACATCATAAGCATACTACCATTATGCTAAGATATCTTCAATAGTGGGCCTCAATAATTTGCCGATTTTTAGTCAATCTAATATGATATTTAAAATTTTATTTAATTTAAAAAATTAAAAACAAAATTAAATCTATATTCTTATTTGTATAGCTTAATTTCTACATTCATGGATATCACAATTCAATTATCTCGGATATATAATAGACTTCATTCATTTTAATAGCATGTTGATAACACTTTTATTTTATATTGGGTAAATTTAGGTGCCACTAATAAAGTAAGAGTAGTTTTTTATCAGAGATCATTTCAGCCAAAATATCAGTTTTGGACATCATATGTAGAATAAGAGCCATTGGTTGACGCTCACTATAATACATCAATTAGTTATGCACAATCAAGTGAAGAATAAATAAAAAAATATATAAATATTTGAAATATGAAATTGTTGGCCTGTATTTTTAAAAAATTAAAGAGCCTCCCAATAGTGAGCCTCAATAATTTTATGTCTTGTTATATACTTGTATGTTGCTCAACAATTATTATGACATAATTGTCCTTATACAATTAAAATGCAAAGTTATAAAATATATTATAACATGCCTTATAAATATTTCAATTATTTATTGGGCTATTGAAGAATATCATCCCTATAGATAATATTATACCAACTGATTTTTATAGGATAATTGTTAAAATTAACCTATCAGATATCATAATGTACCAATTGATGCATTTTACTTTCTGGTTGGCTTGTCTGAAAATAAATGTGGATAGTATGGAGCCCTTAGTTATATACTACATACATACATACAACAACAACAACAAGAAGCCTTTTTCCCACTACGTAGGGTCAATTATATGAATTTTTTTTCTTCATTGTGTTCTGTTAAGAGTCAAATTCTCATTTAAATCTAATAAAGAAATACAATTTCTAATATTTTCTAACCAAATCTATTTAGGTCAATCTCTATCTGTCTTAACTTAAGTCAAATCTAATACATCTACTCTCCTAATAGGGTCATTAGAAGGCCGCCATTTTATGTGACACCCATCTTTATATACTACATACATAAAAAAGATATAAATATAATGAAATTCAATTTAAGGAGTTATATTATTAACCCCTAATCTTGTTATTAAAAAGGTTATTTTCCTATTCAAGCTTTAATATATATAAGAGATAACATCGTGAGTGAAGAGAACTAAATGCATTATACCATTCATCAAACAATGAAGAATGGAAGAACTTTAACTACATATGTTTAGAATTTCTTTAAAGTTAAGGAATATTAAAATTAACTTATACATTAACGATTTCATCCCTTACTGTCAAATTTCCTCATAAATCCCCCTTTTGTAATATGTATGACAACTCTATATAAATTTTGCATTTTGATTATTTCTGATCCTCATGATATAAACAAAATTTTATGTTGATCTACAAACACTAATAGATAAATAAAAAAATTTGTAAATTGTATATATATATATATATATATGTGTGTGTGTGTGTGTGTGTGTGTGTGTGTGTGTAGTGGAAAAGGTATTATTAATAAAGTTGAGAGCTTATCAGAAACCTTTTCTTATATCTAATTATATATGCAAAACTTTTCTAAGAAAAATAACCTAATACTAAGGGTAGCCATCACATCACATTATTAGATTCCATAAAAAAATTAGAAACCTATTAACTTAGCATTTGAAAATTCATTGCACAATTTTGAATAAAAGAGATAGCTTGTGTATCCAACATTTGTAAGAGATAGTACATCTAGCCTACTTTTATTATAATAAAATAGCCAAATAGTCAAAACACAAACTAGAAAGCACCCTAACTATCAAACAATCCATCTCTCAAAGTCGCATGACATGCAATACAAAGAATTTTCTAACTAACCTTTGACATAACTACAATCCTCCTATACTATGTGGCTAAGGGGTTGTGGATTATAATAGCATTCAAGTGTGTGCAAAAATATTTATGTAGTAAATGTCTGCTCGTATCATTGTAATAAGCTCATTTCAAGGATCCAACTCAACTAAAGCATGCCATTTTAATTTAGTTAATTCAAAAAGATTAATTTTTAAAAATAATTATCTGGCTTGTTATAGGTTAATTGTATTTATTGAACAATCCTATGAAGTCAAATTATTATAGAATGAATCTATCATAACATAGTAGAAATGTCATAGTTATGAGCTAGGGTAAGGAGCTAATAGGATTCACATTATTTGGTTAATTGTTGACGTATTTCAGGTAGTTTCAAATGCAATTACTATGACAAGAGAAAATTAATACTATTAACCATCAAGTTTAGGATAAAGCATTTAAAAGTGACTCAAACACTTGAAAGAAGATAATGTTCCAAATATTTGGAAGAAGTTCCTAATGCTTGAAGTGTGGGACTAGTCTATATAGAGGTCATTAGCTTGGAAGGAAAGAAATGGTGTGAATAAAAGTGTATACTCAACACCACACAATGCTCAATAATTAGGAATGATTAAAAAATATAATTATCACTTAACAAAATGTTATATTGTTAAGGCTCAAAGGGACCTATAAGTTTAGTGATTATGTAGAGTCAAAAGAGCACAACTTTATTAGTATTGGCTCAACAAAAAATGGTACGATTGAGGCTAGAGGTTTAACCAAAAATATATTGCTAAACTAGGATTATTTGAATCAAAAGAGTATGACTAGAATGATTAAAGAGTAAGATTAAGATTGCATAATCAAAAGGGCATGATCATATTGAAAAATGTGCTTAGCCAAAAGAGAAATGATATAGTGTAGTCGTATATGCATGATAGCACTAAGAGCTACATAGAGTGGTGTGATAAGTTTGGATGAATTTCTCAGTCAACTAAAAGTGACTAAGACAAGTATGAAGTATAATCAAACATTAGTGACTATATTCAAAAAACACTTAGCTAACAGTATGTATTCATTTTCACTAGAACCAAAAATTAAGATATCATCAAAATATACAACAAAAAAATTTTCATGTATAAGATTTAAGGATTGTATCATTAATCTTATGAATGTGCTAGGAGATTTGAAAATCCAAATGGCATGACAAGCCATTCTTAAAGTCCATCAGAGATTTTAAAAATAGTTTTCCACTCATCTTTTGATCTAATTCTAATTTGATTATAAACACTTTTCAGATCAACTTTAGAGAATAAATTTTCTCTCGAGATTAAATCAAACATATATTTGAGTGCAACTTTATTTTTTGTCTTACTATGAACACACATTCGCCATGTTATATCTTTTTTAGGGGCTGACAAAGCTAGGATAACACATGGACTAAAACTGCATATGGACTAAGACACTTGAATAAAACAATTTTTTTAAAAATTCCTTAACTTGCCTTTTAATCTCATTATTCTCAGTAGAGTTCATCCTATAGTAAGGAAGATTGAGAAGTTCAAAATCAAGTATGAAATCAATGGCATGTTGAATGTTTCTAAGAGGGAGTAATTCATCAGAGAGCTCATCAAGTGAAATATCAT